CACCCGCTCCCGCAGTAACAGTGGGAGGCTGTTCCGGGCGAGGAGCGATCCACGGCCGCGATCCCGGCCCCACCCGAGAGCCCGGGCGCGCAGTCCCCGCTGCTGGTGGAGTGGGAGCGTCCATCCTGCGACCGCGTCCTCGCTGATCTCGCCTCCTGTGAGGCACGAGTTTTTCTAAAGAGAAATCGCACGGTTCGTGTTGGACTTGTGGCTGTGCGAGCTGGTCCCTGGAAGAAGGGAAAGAGGGTGAAGAAAGGAGGTGCCAAGAAAGACGGCGACGTGGGGAGTGGGGGGAGAAGAGCAAAGAGGGAGCGAGCGCAGCAGAGAGAAGCGCTTTGCTTTGGGGGCGGTGGGAACAAACAACGCATTCTGGGACAACCAGCGCTCTCTTTCCAGTCGTCGTGAGAACTCACTGAGGCTACGTTGTTCAGACGTAGAACCTCAGAAGCTAAGGAATCATTCGAATCCAGCCCGGGGTTATTTGTGATTAAAACCGCAATGATACAACTGCAACGGTGCGTAGACAGCTATTGGCAGCTAAAACAAACCCTGAGCAGTGAAATGAGCAGCAGTGAGGGAGGGATGGCGCCTTTTGTTGCTTTTGTAGGCATTCTTTCTCTGTCTGTCCTATTTTTGAGGGTTTAATGTGTTAAGGATGGGGAACGCGCGTTTTAAGCCAACGCTTTTGGCACGGAAGGTAATAGGAATGCCTACAATAAAGTAGTCCTCATTCTAATAGAATTAAAAATGGCAGTATTTCCCTCTGTTGAACAGATTGATTTCTTTGTGCAATCAGTAATCTACCCGCTTGGGTTGCCGGATTGGGGTGGGTGGGTGGAAAAGGTGAAGGGGATGGAGAAGTGCAAACTGCCAGTTATAAAATCAGTACAGCATAGGGAGTATCGTCAATAATAGTGTAATAACTCTGTAGAGTGTCAGACGTGTGCTAGCCCCATCGTGGTGATCACTTCACAGGGTATGTAAGTGACTATCACTATGTTGTACATTAACATAATATTGAATAGCAGCCATAATTAGAAAATAATGTAGCCACTTTGGGAAGGGAAGAAGGGAATTAGCGTGGCGTCCCTGCTAGGTGTCCCATCGTGTATGCTTTACAGAACAGCAGATGTAGTCCTTACACGTGTCCAAATGCATCAAGCATTTTTTAAAAAGCATTTTAGGATGAAATATACATAAGATTTACTACTTCAACCATTTTTAAGTGGACAACTTGGTAGTGTTAAGTTTATTCACATTGTGTTACAACCATCACCACCATCCATCTCCAGAACTCTTTTATCTTCCCAGACTGAAACTCTGTAGCCATTAAACAATAACTCCCCATTCTCCCTTTCCCTCAGACCTTGGCAACCACCACTGTACTCTGTCTCTATGAATTTGAGTACTTTAGGCTTCTCATACAATATTTGTCTGTTGCAACTGACTTACTTCACTTTGCATAATGTCCTCAAGATTCATTCACATTGTATCATGTCAGAAGTTCCTACTTTTTATTTATTTAATTCAAACAGCAGTCTTTTAAAAATTTTTCTTTATTGATTGATATATACAGAGAGGAAGGGAGAGCAATGGAGAGTTAGAAGCATCGATGAGCGAGAAACATCGGTCAGCCGCCTCCTGCACACTCCCCAGTGGGGATGTGCCCTCAGCCAAGGTACATGCCCTTGACCAGAATTGAACCTGGGACCCTTCAGTCCCCAGGCCAATGCTCTATCCACTGAGCAAAACCGGTTAGGGCTGATATATCAGTAGAAGGGAGGGATGGTGGGAAGGGTGGAAAGAGAGAAAAAGAGGGAGAGGGAGAGGGAGAGGGAGAGGGAGAGGGAGAGGGAGAAGGAGAGAGAGAGAGAAAGTGTGAGAGGGAGAGAGCGTGAGCTCGCACTAGAGAAAGAGAGAGGCACGGATTTGTTGTTCTACTTATTTATATATTCATTGGTTGATTCTTGTATATGCCCTGACTGGGGTTGAACCTGAAACCTTGGCCAGAGCAGAATTTCCTTCCTTTTTAAGGCTAAATAACATTCCTTTGTATGTATATATCATATCTTGCCTGTTCATTCATTCATTGATAGACATTGGTTGATTCCACCTTTTGGCTATTGTAAATAATGCTACTTGAACCTGGTGTACAACTATCTTTTTAATTTGTTACAGAAGCAAAAGAAGAACCCTTGGAGCTTAGAGAGAGAAAGGCAAAGGGAGGGAAGGCCAGGCGTGTTCCCAAGAGGGAGAGTGCACCCAAACTTTTTTATATTTTGATGAAGTGCAATTTATCTATTTTTATCTTTTTTTGCCCATGGTTTAGTGTCATATCTGGTGGTTTAGTGTCATATCTGGTAAATCATTGCCAAATCTGATGTCATGAGGCTTTAAAAACACACACACTTATTTAGGTAAACTGAATTAAAAATCTGAGACCTGTTTTGAGGTGAAAACAGGAGAAATCTACACTGAGTGGCCAGATTATTATGACCACCCCATCAGTATTTCATTGACACTTCCAAAAATATTGAATATTGAAAACTTCCTAAGCAAATACTCTCAAGGTTTTATTATTATTATTATTATTTGCATAACTAATTCACTTCATTTTCATTGTACTGATGGGGTGGTCATAATAATCTGGCCACTCAGTGTAATTGCCCATAGGCATCCTGCCATGCTTGGGTTACACAGTTCACCGTGTATTTTTCTTTTACTGATGAGAACACTTAACATGTTATTTAACCTGGCTAAATAATTTATCCAAGAACATTCAACGTGTAGGTGGAAGGCATATTTTGAATACAACTGAATTCCAACACTCTTGTTAAATTATTAAGTCCTCACAAAAGTGTAAAGGGATAGAAGTTATTAGTCCCCTTTTATTGTAATAAAACTGAGGTTCCACATGTTAAATTAATTGTTCAAGATTTCACAGTTGAACAGGTTCCCCCTCTTTTATACATGTAACTATATTTCTTTCTTTATTTCCTTTTTCTTAATTGATTGGAGAAAGAGACATTGATTGGTTGCCTCTCACATGACCAAACTGGTGATCGAGCCTGTAACCTGGGTACGTGCCCTGACTGGGAAGTGAACCCACCGCCTTTTGGTGTAGGGGACGATGCTCCAACCAACTGAGCCACACTGGTCAGGGCACATCTATAATAATAAAAGCGTCATATGCTAATTAGACCGGACAGCCAAACAACCTTCCGAACATCATTCCAGACATCCTTCCGGACGAAGCTGTGGTGGCAGGGGCCAAGGCAGAGGCGGTTAGGGGTGATGAGGCAGGCAGGTGAGCAGTTAGGGGCAATCAGGCAGGTATGCAGAGTGGTTAGGGGCGATCAGGCAGGCATGCAGGCGAGCGATTAGGAGCCAGTGGTCCCAGATTGCGAGAGGGATGTCCGACTGCAGGGATCGGGCCTAAACTGGCAGTCGGATATCCCCCGAGGGGTCCGGGATTGTGAGAGGGTGCAGGCCAGGATGAGGGACCCCCCTCATGCATGAATTTCGTGCACCAGGCCTCTAGTGTAATAATATTTCACACAAGTTCTCTGCGCACTCACAATGTTTATATCTTGCTGCCCTTCCTCTTGCCATTCTAGCATATTTGACAGGAGCGGTTCTTGGTCTGGGGATTTCTGAGGAGACTCAAGAAGCTGGGCATCCTCTCTCACTCTTGCCACAGTCTCCTTGTGGCCACAGCAGAAAAATCAGTGTATATCTGCCCCTTTCATAAACCAGACCTAATAAAGAGGGTTGGGTCTGAGTTAGTGGGGACATGTAGAATGTATAGAGTGTGTGGAGACAGGTCCTCTTGCCCACTCATCCACTCTGCTACCTCAGCTCAGACCCACCAGCTCCACCACTGGGGCAGACAGAAGTTCAGTCTGCAGCCTCCCTCACAGCCACTCGACCACCCAGCAGAAGTAGCAGCAGCATCTCCCCTCCCACGCAAATCAGGCCTTGCCCCCTTCACACAGTGGAGGCCTGCCCTCCTCCCAGCTTCATCAGAGGTGACATGGAATTTGGGTCTCCCTCCCTCCAGGTGAGATGGTGATGCTTCTTGCAGGCAGGAGGACCTATGTCACCCCTGAGTGGGCAGGTTTGATAATCACTGTTACCTTCTAAGACTCTTTCTGCCATCACATGATGGAGCCATGTTGCTGGGTTCTAAGTCCAAAGAATTCAAATACATGATTCTGTTGGATCCCACCAACCACCAGGAAGAAAAAGAAAGGTGCACAGAAAACTAGGTAAGTCCTTACTCCGGTGTATAGTGGAGGGTCAACTTGAGAGCTACTGTGACTCTCAGAGGGGAGACTCCGGAAGCCTTGTTCTCTGGTGAGCAGGGAACAACTCAAGCACTGCTTTTGCTCAGCAGTTTCCATTTACCATGGGCCCTAGATACTAATATCCTAGCTCTTCAGAAACACTTCCAAGGTGCTTACTTTCACATGAAACCCTTAACATGC